TGAGAGGAAGTGTAGGGAATAGGGAGGAGGTATTATGTTTGGTATAAGTGAAAAGAGAAGAAAAGGAAGAGTTAAATGAGTGAGTTCCATCTTTTATTCCTATTCTACTAAATAACTTCAATTTTTATTCAACAATTTCTATCGTGGACCAATATATCATACGGTTCATGAGTGAATCAATCAAATAAAGTATGTTTTTCATGCGATTCATATTAATGGTGAAGTAAAAAATATTATTAGATATATGAATAATTAAATTTAAATGTTCATATTTATTTGATGATAATTTTTTTATTGATGTATTAATTATATTTCCTACTAATAAATGACCATTTTATCCAAAAAAAATCCTCACCACCCCCATCGTCATCTCCATCAACCTCAACCTCCTTTTTACACTCCTTCAACTTTGATCTCCTTTTTTAACTCTATCAGCCTCAACAAAGACATTGCCTTTAGTCTCGAGGGCCCCTCTCTTCCTTCGATGACGAACACCTCAAGACCAATGACAAGATCGTCCTGCCTACGAGCTCTACGACCCCACCTATAGTAGTGTCTTCTTCCTCGACAATGACGTCTTCACGATGGATGCTGAAGGAGACAAGGTTCGGGTCTAGAGCAAAGAAGGAGAAGGTGCACGATGAAAAGGGAGAAAGCACAAGCCTCAAATCCCTAACACTTATTCCCAATGAGCGTTGACTTCAACGACAATAACGAATCTTGACTCTAACGAGAAAGTTGTGTGAACGAGATCCCTTCGCTTTTCCCTTTCTTTACTAAAACTCTACCGAACTTTGTCATTAAAATCATTTGTACCTATCACGAGAACCCCACGCCATCGGCCCCTTCCATGACTTGGCTCCTTATGTCGCTTGCACCAAGCTTGTCGTCATTAGCAGCCACCACCACCTTGTCGTTTGCGATGCTTGCATCAAGCTTGTTGTTATCAGCAACCACCGCCACCTTGTAGTCTATAATGCTTGTGAGCATGTTACTGTTAGAGTGAAACCCTAGTTTCTTAAAAAAAAGATTTTTTTTAATAATTTTAAATATTTTAAATAAATAAATAAAAACTACTATTCACTTGTGCACTAGTAAACAATATGATAACTACTATTGCACTTGATTGAAGTGTTTGCTTTATATTTTGGTTGTGTATGAACACATTTTGAATGGTGAAATTATATTGTTTTGGTGTTATTTTGGTCGTACTTGATTGAAATATTTTAGCATGTTTTTTTTCTATTATATTATTATTTTTAGTTATATTATTTTATATAGGTGCAATGTCACATTCGAGTATGTATAAAGGTAGTGACATTGTACCTATATAAACGATGATCCTGCAATATTTCGACAAGTTTATAGGATGTATCCAGATGTATTTCGAAAGTTATGTGCAATTCTTAGAGTAAAAATACATCTAGAAGATACACGATATATTTGTGTTGAAGAAATGCTTGCATCATTCCTACAGTTGTTGGTCAGAATACTCGATATTGTGTAATTCGTAACACATTTGGCCAATCACAATTTGCTACAAGTGAAAATTTTCACAAGATTTTGAAGGCTTTGAATACGATAACACCTACTTTGATGGCTAAACCAGGATCAACTGTGCCAACTAAAATTAGAGAAAGCACAAGGTTCTTCCCTTTCTTCAAGGTATATACTAATTATCTTACAATAAAAATTATAATTAAATTTGACACTATTATATTTATATTTTTCATACGATGAAGTGTTATATATGTTAAATTTTAGGATTACATTAGAGCTATTGACGGGATACATATTCTAGCAATAGTGAGGAGGCGAGATGTAAGTAGTTATCGTAATCGTCATGGAAAGATATCACAAAATGTATTAGCCGCTTGCAATTTTGATTTGGAGTTCATGTACATTCTTAGTGGGTGGGAGGGTTCGGCTCATGATTCTAAGCTACTAAATGATGCTATAACAATGAGGAATTGACTTAAAGTGGCTCAAGGTAAATGCTTATTCTTTAAATAACAATAATTATTATTATTATACTAATATTATATATATTGCATACGTAATTAGGTAAATATTTTTTGGTAGATTGTGGATTTCCTAATCGACGTTAATTTTTAGTTCCATTTCGAGGTGTAAGATATCATTTACAAGATTTTGCAGGTCAGGGTAATGACCTTGAAAATGAGAAAGAATTGTTCAATCTTCGTCATGCGTCTTTAAGAAATGTGATCGAGAGAATATTTGGTATTTTTAAATCAAGGTTCATAATTTTTAAGTCAGCACCTCCATTTTTATTTAAGACACAAGTAGAACTTGTGTTAGTATGTGTAGCACTATATAACTTTCTACATAAAGAATGTCGTTCTGATAAATTTTCAATTGAAGTGGTGGATGAACTTTCATCTTCAACATTACCGGTTAATGAAGATCATACTTTTGAGCCTATTATTTAAACCCAAGAGCAAGAGCGAGAAGACACTAATGCTTGGAGGACTAGTATAACTATGGATATGTGGTTTTAGGATTACATTAGAGCTATTGACGGGATACATATTCTAGCAATAGTGAGGAGGCGAGATGTAAGTAGTTATCGTAATCGTCATGGAAAGATATCACAAAATGTATTAGCCGCTTGCAATTTTGATTTGGAGTTCATGTACATTCTTAGTGGGTGGGAGGGTTCGGCTCATGATTCTAAGCTACTAAATGATGCTATAACAATGAGGAATTGACTTAAAGTGGCTCAAGGTAAATGCTTATTCTTTAAATAACAATAATTATTATTATTATACTAATATTATATATATTGCATACGTAATTAGGTAAATATTTTTTGGTAGATTGTGGATTTCCTAATCGACGTTAATTTTTAGTTCCATTTCGAGGTGTAAGATATCATTTACAAGATTTTGCAGGTCAGGGTAATGACCTTGAAAATGAGAAAGAATTGTTCAATCTTCGTCATGCGTCTTTAAGAAATGTGATCGAGAGAATATTTGGTATTTTTAAATCAAGGTTCATAATTTTTAAGTCAGCACCTCCATTTTTATTTAAGACACAAGTAGAACTTGTGTTAGTATGTGTAGCACTATATAACTTTCTACATAAAGAATGTCGTTCTGATAAATTTTCAATTGAAGTGGTGGATGAACTTTCATCTTCAACATTACCGGTTAATGAAGATCATACTTTTGAGCCTATTATTTAAACCCAAGAGCAAGAGCGAGAAGACACTAATGCTTGGAGGACTAGTATAACTATGGATATGTGGGTGAATGCTATTTAAGAGGATATGATATTATGGAGAATTATTATTATTATTTATCTAGACATTGTTGTTTTTTTTTATTATTTTTGTCTTTGACTCTTTTTAAATTTAAATGTATGATTTTTTTTTGAAATCTTATCAAATGTCAAAAATCCACGAAAATTCTACAAAATCTCACAGAATCCATTAAAATCCTTATTTAAAAGTCTTGCAGAATCCATTAAAATCCTAATTTTAAGTCTTGTAGAATCCTGCAAAATCTTAAAAGTCATGAAAATCTTGCAAAGTCTTTTAAAATTCGCATGATTTTTTTAACTAAAAAAATCCTTTAAAATCCTAATCCAATACACGCCCCTTACTCTTGAAATAAGTAGATCTTATATATA